TAGGCCCTGGCCTCCTGGTTCCTCTTTTTCTTTTTTGAGACAGAGCCTTGCTCTGTTGCCCAGGCTGGAGTGCAGTCGTGCCATCTTGGCTCTCTGCAAACTCTGCCTCTCAGATTCTCCTGCTTTACCTCCCAAATAGCTGGGATTATGGATGCCCATCACCACACCCAGCTAATTTTTGTATTTTTAGTAGAGATGGGGTTTCACCATGTTGACCAGGCTAGTCTCGAACTCCTGACCTTAAGTGAGCCGCCTGCCTTGGCCTCCCAAAGTGCTGGAATTACAGACTTGACCCACTGTGCCTGACCCTGCTTCCTCCATTTAACAGAGCCCAATAAAAAAAATGATGTTTGTTCAGACTCACGAATCAGAGAATATTGGAGCCGGAAGGCACTTTAGGGGTCAGGGAATTCAAGCCCCTCTGTACAGAGACCACAGTGGTGAGACATGGGATAACCTTGCCCAGACCCTTACTCAGCCAGCGCTGGAGCCGGGGCCTGGGTTTCCAAATTTCCTGCTTCATTCTTGCTTTCTCAAGAGCCCTATTAAAAATCCCATTCCCGTTCCCAAATGTGACCCTGATAGCAAAGGAAATAAGAGCATGGCAGGGCTGACTGTGCACCGGCATGCCTAGCCAAACTGCGCATTATCTCACTGACTCCTCAGAGTCACCCGGTCACATGCAACTGCATGTTTCACATTTGATAGGAGAGAGACCTGCTCGAAATGACACAGGCAGTAAAGGTGGAGTCTGTACTCCCCCCAGCTGTCTCACTCCAAGTCCCAGCAGCCTCTAATCTGGAAATGAGAAGCCTGGGCTTTTCAAACTGCTGTGGAGAGCTGGAAGAGCACCAGGGACGTTCCTGCTGGGCTGGCATCCCGGGAATTTGTGCCTTTTGCTCTGTGGCCTGGTCAGGAGTCCTTCCTGCCCCACCCCACAGCCTTCTGGCTTCACCATTTCTCTGAGCTGGGCCAGCAGGAGAGGGTCTGTCTCTGCCAATGGCCCATTGGGTCTCTCCTGGCTGCTCTCACATGACATTCCTGCTGGGTGCCAGGGACCCGGGCAGACCTAGCAGAGGAGGGGACAGCTCCTGCCTTGGTGCTGTAGCTTTCTCTCAGCCTCTTGTTACTTAAGACTGGGCCATTTCATCCCAGCCAACCATTTCCAACTCTGCCATCTCGTTTTGTTCCTGGACCTACAGGAAGGCATCCTGTGAGCATCCCCAGTGTGTGATGGAGGAGTGGAGATAAGAGATGCAGAGGCGGTCTCCCACACCTGCCAGCTTCCAGGACATCCACTTTTAGCTCCAGGGTCACTGTCCTCATCACCAATGCAGCCTCCTCAATCTCACCTTCCACAACCCTCCGCTCCCCACCTCCTGTCCTATCAGAAGACTCTAGCTCCCTCCCATGACATGAACTGAATTGTGGGGCTTCCTGCATTCATTCATTCATTTGTTCAACAAATATTTATTAAGTTCATGATGTGTGCCAGGCACTGTCCTAGGCACTGGGAGTATAGCGGGAGATGGAAGAAACCAAGCAAACCACACAGACAGAAACCCTTGCCCTCATGGAGCTGGCATTCTAGCTTGGGAGATAGAAGGTGAAAGAGATAAGTAAGTCTAAGTTAGGGGTCACTGTGGCGGGGGGGGGTGAAGAAAACAGAAGGGAGATAGGAGGTGTCAGGGTGGTTGTAATTTCCAGTAAAGAGGCCAGGGAATGCCTTACTGAAGTTATTTTTTGTTTTTAAATTTTAAAGCCAGTCTAATTAGCAGTGGGGGTGTTGTATACAAACTTTAGTGACAGTAATGTTAGTAAGTTCTGATAATCCACTGCCATGGTCCAGTCTGTGCCTGAGTGAAGACAAGAAGTGAGGGTATCTGGGGGGAAGTGTTGTGGGCAGAGAGATCAGCAAGTGCAAGGGCCCTGGGGCAAGAGCCGATGAAGCAGAGTCAGGGAGTTGGGTCAGGCAGGTGTGGGAGCGAGCAGGAGGCAGTCCACGCAGTGGGGTGGCGGGGGGGAATCTTGGAGGTTTGGCAGGGGAATGCAAAGCTCCAACAGCCCAGAAGGAAGATGGGCAAGGGTAGAAGTGGGCAGAGCCACCGGGAGACCGCGGTCACCCTGGGCAGGTTTGGTGGTCGCTGGCTATAGCTATGGAGGTGATAAAAGGTGGCTGAAGACGTCATATCTCAGGGGTAGTGTCAACATCAACTGTTGACTGACAGGAAGAATGGAACTTGTTTGTTCCACTGCCAGCCCACCCCGCCTCTCCCACTCACTCATAAATACACATCGGCCCCAGCTGCCCACACTTCCCACCCTCCTGGCAGACCTTAATTACCCAAAAATTTTCGACTCCTTCCCAGTTCCCTAACCTTCCCTGTAGTGTCCCAGGAAGTCAAATCTGACTCAGATGCTTAACAGCAGATGACATTGGGGGAATTATTTTACCCCTTCTGACCCTCTTGGGGGCTTGGGTCTTGTCCTGCCTGCATTTGCACTTCTCTGGCCTCATAGGGGGTTGCACCAAGAACTGCTGGGCTGCAGCTTAAAATCACCTGGTTCGAACCCCACGCTACCACTCATGAGCCTCGGGAAAGTTACTTAACCTCTCTGAGTCTGCAGTTCCTCTTCTGTGAACTGGAGTGATATTAATTCCCACTGCGTGGGGCTGCTGTGAGATAAAATGAAACCGCACACACAGTGCGCTTAGCCTCCAGTCCACTCCCTGGTAATGCTCCGATGCTGGATTATCAAATGCCGCCGTATTTTTTAAATGAGCAGACTGTTCATCTTGAATTGTAGCTATACAGTTTTTAAAAGAAAAAAGCTAAAAAGTAAAATAAAATGAGCAGAATGCAGGTTAGCACGCCTTTCCACCTCTACTCTGTAAACAAAATCAGGATGATAATGGAAAACACCCCATCCTCTTTTTTGCCAAAAAAAAAAAAAGTGCTTATATTTGTGTCCTCTGACTGCTCAGGGTTCTCAGCCTTCTTGCAGAGAGTGCTGACTTTGTATGTAATTAATATGTTCTCATGAAAAGGAGGGTGTCCCAGGGACACCATTTTGTAAGCCCCCAACAATTTGGCTTAAGGATTTGCCTCTGGGGGTCTGGAACAAACTGTGCAAATGTATGTAGCCTCTGAGGAGAGCAGAGTCTCTGGCTTGGGGGTGTGGGGGGGCCTGGCTTTCCCTTCACCACAGGCAGCTCACACCTACTAGAAGCAGGTGAGAACGGGGACTCTCCCCCTTGGCCTGCCTGGGTATTCACAAGTCTGTGAGCCAAGAGGCTGTCTCAGGCTCTCGGGGTGGGTGCCAGGGGACGAGAGAGACAATAAAACACAAGTGCCGGGGCCATTTTCTTTTCTGAAAAGATCTTTATTTCTACGCTAATTGCAATTTCTGGTCGGCCTCAGTTCAGACTCAGCCTTGTGCGCCTGGAAGTCATTCCTGGCGAGCTTCCTCCACCTTCTTTTTCTTGGCCAGACGCGGCCAGTCATAAATTGACAGGGAAAAACACAGCTCTCCAAATGATTTTGGTATCTTGTCTAGGGTTATTATCGAGCTTGGGACAAATCCCACACTAGCCTCCGCCGCTGCAAATGCAGACCTGAACTAGCCCCTCTCCACTTTAACTTCACCTTCATTCTGGTTTGCTGGTTACAGATGAATTCCTTTTTCCTGGACCCTCTAGGCTGCCCCACAAACCAGCACCCACATGAAGGCCAGAGCCAGGCTGGGTTTGCTGGGCAGTCAGGCCCTGTGGGAACTGGAGGCCTCTCCCCTAGGACTGGACTCACCCTCCCATCTGAAAGGCCCTTTATTCTAGGACTTAATGAGGCAAAAGCAGTTAAGGGCAGGACTATGGAACCCACCAGATGTGAATGGAGAATGGGGAATTTGCAGGGTAGAGAAGAGTTCAAGGGATGAAAGGAAGGCATTCTGGGCAGGCTGAGCATGGATGTGGGAACAAGGCGGCATGTCACATCTACAGATGGGTTTCCCTAGAGCTGCGCTCCATGCTTCCAACTGCAGAGGCAGGGAGTTTGTGTGTTTAGGACTTCAGTGTGAAACTGAGAATCATCTTGTGTTTCAAGCATAGAGATAATGATGAAAGAACACAAAGAAATAATAAATGCTTGAGGTGATAAATACCCTCTTTACCCTGATGTGATTATTATACATTGCATCTCTGTATCACATCTCATGTAGCCCATAAATAGATAGACCTACTACGAACCCATAACATTTAAAATACATTTTTAAAAAGAAACACTGATGAAAGGACATAATTTTTAAAGGATGGGAATGGGAAGAGTTTCAGTGTATGGCAAGGCTCACAAATCTTATCTGAAAGAGACCACTCAGGTGTGTACTCCTGTCCTTCCCTGCCCTTTCCTATCCCTGAGCCCCACTTCCGACCTTCCATGAAATTTAATATTGTAAAATCAATGAATTCCAAACAGCTATGTGATGACAGCTAAAGGAAAAATGCAATTATTTAAAATTATGAGGAAAGCCAGGTGCTGTGACTCACACCTATAATCCCAGCTACTCTGGAGGCTGAGGCAGGAGGATTGCTTGAGGCCAGGAGTTAGAGACCAGCCTGGTGAACATAGGAGACCCTCTCTCTAAATAAAAATAGATTTTAAAAAATAAAATAATGAAGGAAAAAATAGTTGGAAAACAAAGGATGCAGACCAACTCACTTCATGCCGTGTTCCTTTTTAGGATGAGAGGTCTTAGGTGAGAAGAATTTTATTCACATAAGACTGACCGCTACACTATAATAAAAGGGTTAATTTTCATGTTCCGCTTTTTATTCTCTAAGTTGCCAGAGATGAGGGTAAATCATATTAAGTGCTCGCAGCCAGATTTTGTCATGAGAACAAGGCATCGAAGGGCGAAGTCCGTGAATGATCTTGGGAAATGTGCGTCACCCTGACCTTTAGAGACGACTGCATTCTGATTGGCTGCCTAAGCCGCCCGAGTCTCCCTGGCGGTTGGAGAGTTGTAATACAGAAGAAATGGAAAGGCAGGTAATCAGACTAGGCCGCTGCAGTACGCCGCACTGGGAAGGGGATGGGGGCGCTTCGGGCTTGTATCCCGTCCTCCGGATGGGCTGGAGAGTAATCTCCAGTGGAGTGCGCACAGGAGCACGGGAGGCCCACGTGAGTCCCGTGGGCGTCGCCCGAGTAACCCCCTCCCCCCGACAGGACAGGTGGAGGCGGGGGTGGGCGTGCTGGGGGGGGTGGGCTAGCTGGGGGGAAAGGGGTGTACTTGGGGGATGGGCATGCTGGGGGGGGTGGGTGTGCTTGAGGGGGTGTGTGCTGGGGGTCATGGGTGTGCCGGCGGTGTGGGCGTACTGGGGGTGGGCCTGCTGGAGGAGTGGGCATGCTGGGGGATAGGCGTGCTGGGATAAAAGGGGTCTGGACATCCTGGGGCGAGGGCTCTAAGCGAGGCCCCCAAAAAGGAAGCCCCTGCCTCGCACCCCTGCTGAATGCGCATCCGGGTGGATTTGGGGAGCAGGTGGCGCGGGTGTCTCCGCCGCCGTCCAGGTGGGCGACGAAGAGTCCTCACCCAGGAGACAGCGTTTCTGCTCCACCGGGGACTGGCCCGAGCGCTGCCCCGGGTCCGGACAGACCCAGCAAGGCTAGTCCTGCTAGGCCTCTGCCGTGTGACCGGGAGTACCGCGTCTCCTCGGGCGATCTCCATCCAGGGCCTGGGGCCGACACCGCGGCCGGGGAACCTCCTGCGCCCGGAAGGAAGCACAGGTTCCAGAAAAGCCGTAAAATGGCAAATCATGCCAAGCTCTGGGGTGGAGCTGAGAGGGTCCTGTCTCCGCCTCGCCGCCCGAGCTTCGGGGTGGGACGTCTAATTAGTGTTTGCTGATTGGCGGCGGGCAGGCTCAGTAACCACGGCGACCGCGCGGCCCCGCCCACCCCGCCCAGTATCCCCGCCCCCCGCGCTCCCCATTGGCCGCCGGCGCTTCCCGAGCCTACCAATCACCGGCCGCTTCTCCTTACAAAGGGTGGGGAGGCGCCACCTGGCAGAAGCCACGCCTCATTCTGAGAAGCCCGGCTGACGGCTTAATTGAGATTAACATAAACTCCAATCAGAAAGGAAAACTCCGACGGGATTACCTAATCCTATATGCTTAAGGGAGCACCACGACAGCACGAGGAGCCTCTAATAACAGGCCCTCGGCGGGTTCTTCATCCTGGATATCTATCTAGACTCTAATTCAGACTCCATCATTACCTAATTCTATGCCACTTCCTATCCAGGGGTATCTGTTTTCTCAATTTAAAGAGAGGGCTCCTCGTCAGGACCCTACCAACTCCGGATTTCTGTGAGCTACGGGGTCTGAGCAACGCCTGCAAGCCAACACTGTTCATTCAGGCCCGAACCGCTAAGCACTGAATGGGAGGTTGATTTGACTTTGCTTTTTTCTTTGCCTCTGTCTGCAGAGGGCGAAATAGCTGTCTCATTCCCTCTTGCTGGAGAAAAAAAAAAAAACCAATAGGTGTTTAATCTACAAGGGAGATGAATTTCCCATCTAACCCAAGGGGATGAGGGACAGCTCCTGGGTAGATTGCTAGAACTGTCAGTTATCAGAGCCAGCACAGGCCATATATAATCCAGTCCAACCCCCTGGCTTTACAGATGAATCAGGCCCAGAGACGCCAGGGAACTTGAGCAAGGCCACTCAGCTGTCAAGAGCCCAGGTAGAAATCAGTGCCCTCTCTGCTACACCAGTCTGAATGGCTCACACCACCTGCTTGCCTCACAATCCCAGTTTGCTCTGTCTTCCTTTTCTCTTCTTCCTCCTCTTGTTACAATGTGGCCACAATCTAAAGTTCTGAAGGATTCCAGTGATTTTGCAACCTGCAGGCTTTGGCTCTGAAGGATTTACAACCGATTTCACAAACTTTCAAAGCCTTAAGGAGCAGAGTGATGAAATACTGATCAACAGTTTCGTGACCGAGGCTACATTCTCTTACTTTCCAAATGACTTAACTCCACAGCACAGAATCTGCTGGATTTGGTATCTGTAAAGACTTACCAGACAGGCACAGTGCCTCATGCCTATAATCCCAGCACTTTGGGAGGCCAAGGAGGGAGAATCACTGGAGGCCAGGAGTTCAAGAGCAGCCTGGGCAACATAGTGAGACCCTATCTCTACAAAAAAAATTAAAAATTATCCAAGTTGACCAAAAATAGTCTACCTTGAAGATCTTCCAGTGTGATGTTGGGGCAGCGCAACTGTATTTAGGGGCAACTCAAGACTAGCCCACCTGAAAGATTCCCACACCCCACCTAATCTGCAAGTACAAATGAAGTCACGTCAGTATGAATACCAAGGTTTTGATGACTCAGAGCCCCCACCAAGAAAACTGCAGTACCTTGGGTGCCTCTCACCCTGCAGAAGAAGGAAAATGCAGATTCACCGTGGAATACTATGCAGCCATGAAAAAGAACAGAACAGAAAACCAAACACTGCATGTTCTCACTCATAAGTGGGAGTTGAACACATGGACCATCACACACAGTTGAACACATGTAACGTCCTGAGAACACATGGAAATATCACACACTGGGGCCTGTCATGGGGGGTGGGGCAAGAGGAGGGAGAGCATTAGGACAGATACTTAATGCATTCAGGGCTTAAAACCTAGATGATAGGTTGATAGGTGCAGCAAACCACCATGGCACATGTATATCTATGTAACAAACCTGCACATTCTGCACATGTATCCCAGAATTTAAAGTTAAAATTGTTTAAAAACATTCCTAGCCGTGTCTCTTTCTCCCTCTCACGCCATGTGACACACTTGCCCCCCTTCTCCTTCTACCATGAGTAAAAACTTCCTGAGGCCTCCCCAGAGGCAGAGCCGATGCTGGAGCCGTGCTTATAAAGCCTGTAGAACCATGAGCCAAATAAACCTCTTTTCTTTATGAATCACCCAGTCTCAGGGTATTCCTTTACAGCAACACAAAACAGACTAAAACAACATCATATATATTGAGAGAGAGAGGAGACATATCCCAGGGGAGAGGGAGAGGGAGAAGGTGGTCAAGGGCATTAGTAAAGAAGTTAATCTTGCTTCCTCATCTCCCCTACATCTCCTGGGAGACTTTCTCCATCAGCCGTCCAGGCTCTTTCGCTGCCTGAACACCTACATGAATGATCTGAGGCTGGAGGGTCACCGTCTCCCCAAGTCCTTTGTTCCTGCAGGGCAGATCCAATCATCCTGTCTTTAGACCCCACAGCACATTCATCCCTTTCTGTGCCTGCAGGCTTTATACACTCCCAAGTGCTCCTACAGCCTTGGGTAGGGTTAGGAGGACCCAGGCAGGAAGAAGCGGGCTGTGGAGCTGCTGAGAGGCTCGGTGAAGGCTCCCTGTGGGGCCAGAGACAAAGGTGGAAGCGAAATGCCTGCTGCTGTCACCTCTGGCTCCCAAGACCCCACACTACACAAAGGTGGGGCTGTCGGGTGCCAGAGTGGTGGGGTGGCAGCCCCAGAAGGCCTGTGTGACCAAGTCATTGTCCCCTCCCATCTGCTCCTGGAGAGAGGACAGCCTGCGAATGCCATCTGCGAGGTTGGCATCTTCAACCACGAGCCCCTCTCGGTGTCTCTGCCTGAACCCCTGGGTCAGATCAGCCGATGCCTGGCAGGGCTCTGAGGGACTGGGCCTCCACACAGAGAAAAGGCCAGGGTCGGCAGCAACCTCCTGCTCACAGGGACTGAGAAAACGAGAATAAAGTGCCACCGTTTTGCTGCGAGTCCCTGCTGCTTGGAAACTTTGGCTTTTCTGCTGATTCTGGTGGGAAGCCCCACTCTGCTATCTTAGCAAAAGGCCGGGAGATCCAGGAACAGAGCTGGCCTCAGGGCCTGCAAGCATTCTGCAAGGGCTGGCTTTTGTTCTCACGCAAGATTTCCAGCCGGAGACAAATGCTTTCCACATGGGCTGAGAGAAGGAGACCTCCTTCCACTCGCTTTTGATCCTCAGACACTGCTGCGTGGCAACAGGCAGCATCTCACAGACAGCCTTCCCCAAACAGAGGCCCCTCAGGGACCTGCCCACCCCCACCTCAGAGCACGATGAACACCGTTCCACACCGTGCTGCACCTGACCCCTCAACAACCCGAGGGTCTTGCCCTGAGTCCCCAGGGAGCTCATCCTTACCACCAGGAAGGGCCTGACGCATGGACGGCCGTTGGTGGACATCCATAGTCTGTGGTCATCCCAGATCCCTGCACAAAACTACCTTCCCCAGAGCCCTGGGCTCCCAGATAGACCACACTCCTCCCCTGTAACTAGCTGAAATTAGATGAAAAGAAACCCAAGGGCTGGGGGAAAACACTGTCCTCCCTGCTGATGGGCATGTCCATTATTATAGTCCCTCTGTAGGAAATTTGTAAACTAACTAAATAATAATAAAATATTCCCTTACAATGAGCATACTCTCGGATTAAATATTCCCACTTCTAAAAAGCTATTCCAAGAAAATCAGCAGGAATGTAGCAAATGACTTCTTCTACATCATTTGAAAAAGTCAAAAAATTGGACGAGGCCCAGTGGCTCATGCCTGTAATCCCAGCACTTTGGGAGGCCAAGGTGGCTGGATCACTTGGTCAGGAGATTGAGACCATCCTGGCTAACACAGTGAAACACCATCTCTACTAAAAATACAAAAAGCCAGGCATAGTAGCACACGCCTATAGTCTCGGCTACTAGGAGGGCTGAGGCAGGAGAATCGCTTGAACCTGGGGGTGGAGGTTGCTGTGAGCTGAGGTTGTCCACTGCACTCCAGCCTGGGCAATAGAGTGAGACTCTGTCTCAAGATGATAATAATAATAATAATATTTGCATATACCCTAATAAATAAATATTCATTTACTTTTAATAAATTATATATATAGGTACTATCAAACTAAAAGTGTTATATGCATTACAAAACACATGATATAGAAATTTTAAGCAATATTTTAAATTTGTTCTTTTTATTCATTAACACTTCAGAAATATTTTGGTTTAAAAAGAGCCATTTGATTTTGGATCTGACCAATCATAGAAGTCTGAGTTTAACACTGATACAACTGAAAGTTCAATATATTTCTGTTCTTGGTTATAATAGTTATCATTCAAAACAATCTTTTTTTTT